ATTTGTGTAGATAAATAGGCAGGCCCGTTGTCAGTTTTAATGACGTGTGGGATCCCCACAGAGGCGAAGCAATGGTACAGATGCTTAAAAACTGATGGGGTGTTCTCCCTACTGGATACAGTGGCCATCATAAATTTGGAAAAAGTATCAATGCAGACATGGATAGCAACACGGCCAAGGTGAGTAACATCCATTTGCCACAAGTCATTGGGAAAAAGACCTCGTGGGTTAATCCCCTTTCTGGATGGAGGGGGGAGAAAAGGAACATAGCACACACATCGCCTCACAATTTGTCGAGCCTGTTCACGAGTTAAACCATACAGGCGTCTCAGGGAGCTCACTGGTAGGTGTAAAAAATCATGGGCTTGTTCAGGAGGGGTGAGGACTGGCAGTAGGGAGCACTGTAAAGCACGATCCGCTACATCGTTGCCCTCAAAAATGCCTCCTGAGGTGGACTGATGAGAATAAACATGGAGCAAGCATGGAGGATGGCAAAGAGCTCATTTTTCTGGGTAGAGTCATAGGGGGTTTCTAATACTGTTATTTCCTTGGAGGCCTCATGATAAATAGAGGCCTTTCGGTTTTTTGTAGCATCAGTGAAAACATTTGGGCCTTGAACAGGTTCTCCCATAACCTTTCATTGGGGGGGTACTAAGGTTATTTGCTCTAGCATAGGAAGGAGCAGGCAGGAGGAATGGGGACTCACTTCGGCCCATTGGGAACAATGTGCCCAAGACCAATAGGTTTGCATAATGGCTTCTCGCTGTCCAGGTTCAAAAGGTAAGTAAAGTAAAGGTCGCTGCCCAGACAAGTGGACAGCCCTTTGTATGGCAGCTAAGGCTAGTTCCCCTAACGTCTCATAATAATTTGGCAGCTCCTTGTGAGCCTTCTTTGCATATACAAATTCTAACAATTTGGGACCTTGGTGTATAACACAAAAAGGGCTCTGTTGATTGACCAAGGAGACCTCTATTGTACCTTTGGGGTCCCATCTGGCGGTCTGGGTCTGGGCAGCAAGTGAGAGTATTTGGGACACTGCTGCCTTAGCAGCAGGAGTCCATGCCCGAGGGGATGGTAAAGCAAATCTCTTTCTATCTTCTGGGGATAATGGGATAGAGAAAAAACAATCTTGGATGTCTATGACTGTCACAGGCCATTTAGGGGAGGGGAGGCCAGACTGTAGGGTTCCCGTGGGCTCTAGGGTGGTGTTAACCGCCCTGAGGTCTATTAACATTCAAAATTTCCCTGATTTCTTTTTTATTACAAACACTGGGCTGTTCCAGGTGCTGGATGTGGGCTCAATGTGCCCCACCCGTGACTGGTGCTGCACTATATCACGTAAAGCCTGGGCTTTCCCTGCAGGGAGGGGCCATAATAGTTGTGAGGTGACAGAATGATCAGCTCCTGTGTCTAATAATCCCTTGAAGGATCGCCCCTTAATTTGGATAGTTGCCCATGGCTTACTGTGTTCTATATGTTGTACCCAATTAATATCATTATTGTGGCCATCCAACAGGGGGAGGGCTTGAGCCACTACCGCCCCTTTGTCTATGTAAGCTGCCGAGTCATGTGGGTTAGTTACTATAATCTGTTGCTGGGGTTGGTGAGCAATAACCGTGGTGTGGACAATAACGGGGGTATATAGTGAAAGGCCCACCACGAGGGCTGCTTGGAGGGCAGAATTAAGCCCCGTCACTGGCACTATGGTTGTATCTCCAGGGTCTATTTGGAAATTTCCTTTGCAGTAAAGGGGAAGTCCGAACCACAGGGTAGAAGTCAGAGATATTCCTGATGCAGCCCCAAGGGCGCATTCTGAGGGGGTTGGGCTTCCATCTGGTAAGCTTGTTGAGGGGCCCTTAGCTTGATTTTACCATCCCCTCCAGCTGTTGTCCTCCCATATCTCTCCTCTCCTTTTCATCTCAACATGGCAAAGGTATTGCCACTTCTCCTCTCACTCTCTTCTAAACCCTCCAGTGTCTGGCTTCCAACCTCCCCATTCAACAGAAACTCTTCTCTCCAGAGTCCCCAGGCAACTGGCCTTTCCTCGGTCCTCGTTGTTCTTGACCTCTCAGCAGCTTTTGACACTGGATCACTCTCTCTTCCTGGAAATTCTTTTCTCTCTTCTCTGGATTTTAGGGCAACTGTTCTTTCTTCCCAGTATCCTGTGCCAGATCTTCATCCATAGCATTAACTGTAAGTATCCCTCCAGCCTCTGTCCAGGGCCCTCTTCTCATTTCTGTCCTCTGTCCCATTTGGTCACCTCCTTAGCTGCCATGCCTTCAATGACCATCTCTCTCCAGGTGACTTTCAGATCTCAGATATGTATATTACTCTCTTAGCCATGGTGGAACCATATCTGTGGATGCCTGTTGACCCGTTGTCGATGGGAGGATGGCTTTGGGTTATATACATTTGGGTCAACTCTCTGCCTAGAGAGATATCAAAACTTTATACAAGTTATGTTTCTATGGCTTAAAAATGCTGATTGATGGATATAAAATAACTCAAGATGTGGATTGCTAGGCTCCCTGAATCTCTACCTTTTTCATTAATTACTCAAAATGGTATATCTGTTTGTTATTAAGAATTTTATCTTTTTTATTTTTCATGAGGTATCCCTTTGGCCATTGGATTAGTATAGAACATTGAATCTGTAGATGAATTCAGGTAACATCATCCTTTTTGATGAAGATCTTGCTAATCATTTTGACCTTCCTTTATTTCTGTAAACATTGCTTTGTGATTGTTCATAATTAGTACTTTTATATAAACCCTGAATGAGAAATGGGGATCCACGGCCACGGTAGCTTGGTACCATGGAGTCCAGATAGCACAACCTGTTCTTGTGGGAGCCAGGCCAGCCCTTTGTGATCACCATTGCCATTTCTAGACATTGACTAACTATTCCCTTAATGATACATTTTAAAGATTTTTTTCCAGAAAATGGAGTCACGGTCTTTGGCCTATTGTTTACAGCCAGTGTTCCCATTTTTTTCTTGAAAATCCTGAAGTCTGCCATTCTCCATCTCTGCTGTACAACTCCGGCCTTTCTGATCTCTCAGACATCTTTGGCACAGTATTACATGTGCCACGTCTGGGGGATTTTTTTTGTTCTTTTTAGTACCAAGGCCTGGTGACACAGACTCCTCAGATGTTCTTTTTCTCTCTCCTTCGTCTTGGCTATATCAGCTTCTTATCTCTGAGTCCTTCTCCTTCTTCCAGAGACAGTCAAACTCACTATTGCAGGTTTGGGTGAGCATAAACCACTGGATGAATCACTCCCTGTTTGACAAGAGCTGCAGGGAAAACTACAGAGCAGTTTCCCTGGGAGTGGGCACAGGTGAGCATTTTACACCAAATACCCCAGTGAGTGCCAGTGAAGACTCTACTTAAATGTTAAAGGTCCTATCAGGAGGAGAATGGAAGGAGATGCTCCCTGGGCCGAGAAGAATTCACAGCCCAGCAAGGAATGGAGGTGATCCGAAAGGATAAAATGGACAATTTCAGTTCCGTAAAATTCAAAAACTTTTTCGGAAAAACGAAATAACCAGAGTAAGACAAGAAACCCTTACTGGGGGAAACTCTCCATCTCAGATCTAAAATGTGTGGGAATTTGACCCCAGTAGAGAAGACTAGAAACCATTCTCCAGTAGATGGGTGGTCTCATGGTGCAAACACCAGCGCAATTAGGGTTAGCAACAGTTCCCTGAAGTTAGACGGACAGAGGTGACTCTAAAACAGAAAAGAGACTGTTTCAGTGACGGCAGGAAGTTTTCAGATTTTTTCACACACTGAGATTAGGACAAGCAGGTGCAAAAGCTTCATTTTAATCTAAACATGAGGACAGTGGACTCAGCCATGTCACCAAGAGGCATTTTTCAGTGATAAATGATCACAGGACATGAACAAACACTTTTTTTTCCCCCCAAACACTTCTTGAAAAAGGAAATGAAAACTACCAATGACACGAAATACATTCCATATTATGGGTACTAAATAATAATGATAATGATGATGATGATAAGTAGCATTTATATATATATGCTTTACAGATATCTCATTTTACCCTTGCAACAACCACAGGAAGTAGGTGTTATTATCCCTATTTTACAGATGAGAAAACTTTTGCAGACTGAGGTTAAGTGATATGCCCAGGACCACCCAGCTAGGAAGTATCTGAGTCTGGGTTTGAACTCAGGTCTTCCTAACTCCAGACCAATGCTGGGTTCACAATGGTGACCTTTAGCTGCCAGATTAAAAGAAACAGTGATATAAATACCTCAGAGGTGGCTACTGATCATCCTCTCTTCTCAGAGAGGACCATTAACATCAAGAGGGTGATGCCTTGCAAGTAAATTGGATATAAATGAGGCTGAGCTGTGCAGAACCATCAGCCTCACTCCTCTGGAGTCATCAGAGTACAGGGGCAAGACATAAGTTAAGACAACTGGCAATGGCCAGGATGCAGTGGGAGACCTTGACCTTTTTAAGCTAAGGTCTTTCCCAGGACTCATTGTCTGAGGCAGCATCCATTTGGTGATTAAAGGCTAGGTTAGAATTGAGACGAAAGATGGCCTAGTTTGTCTTCCCAAAACAATCTGGGAGGGAAGGACCCTCAGAGGTGGTACCTCACACTCATTAGGTTGGCATGATGACGGGATCATATCCAAAATCCTCTTTTTTAGTTGGTAAAGCTCTTCCCAACCTACTCCCTAAACACGCCTTTTCAGTCTTCTTACTCCTTTCTACTTCACCTTCCCCTATACACACACACTCAGATCCAGTGACAGTGGTCTCTTTACTGTTCCACAAACAAGATCCTCCACCTATTGGCTTCTGGCATTTTCTTTGGCTGTCTCCCACGTTTGGAGTCCTTTCCCTCTTCTCCACATCCTGGCTTCCTTCAAGTTCCACCTAAGATCTTACCTCCTACAGGAAACATTTTCCCAACCCCTCTTAATTCTAATGTCTTCCCTCTCTTAACAATATCTTGTTCATCCTGTATGTGCCTTGTTTCTTGGGGCCCCCATTATTAAATTGTGGGCTTCTTGAGGGCAGAAACTATCTTTTGCCTTTCTTGCATCCCCTGTGCTTACCACAATGCCTGACATATAATAAATGCTTTACAATGCATGTTGACTCACCCAAATCTTCATTTTGCATCTTGCCATTTAGAACCAAGTTAAATTTTAATCCTTGTCTCATAAGACATGTAGGTACCTAGGCACTTTGTGCCTTTCTGTGTCACATACAGAGTCCCCTAGTGCACAGACACACAGAAAAGAAAATGAGTTACTCAGACTCATTGTTCTTGTTTCCATTTTCCTAAACATGTCCCCTCCATTGTGTGGAAGCAGCTTGGTGTGGCCAAAAGACCAGAGAGATG